CCGTTTCGAAGCTAAAAGGAAGAGCTACAACTTTAATTTAGGTATCTCAACCCAGATCTCAATAGGTATAGGTCAAAAATGCACGAAACAGTGCCAGCTGTTTCATTGCGGTTTACCAAACAGGCCCTGTTTCCAAGGCCGTAACTCACGGTTCAGAAATCAAAATCAAGAAATTGCAGAGGCGTTAGAAAGCTGAAACATAAGGCTAAAACTTGGATGTTTTGGCCAAGATCTGAATCCACTCAGAATAGAACGAAAATCGAGTGCCAAAATACCCGTCAGAACTGTCCAGATACAAGGCAGTTCTGACGATCTATATTGTTTGGGTCATAACAGAAGCTACGGAACTCGGATTCCGACGCACTTTATACCGTTTCGAAGCTGAGACCAAGATCTAAATTTATTATGAAGGATTCGACACCCAGATCGAACGGGATCAATGCAGAAAAACCCACGGTCAGAAACTGAAATTCAAAACGTACACAAACGAACGTCTAAAACAGGCCTGATGGTTTTGTCCATAACTCAGGATACACTAATCCGTGTGACCTGAAATTTTACAAGTAGATTCAGGACCTAAGAGGCTACAATGTTGAAGAAGGCCACTCAATCCAGTTTCTAGTGTAACTAGGTCAAAAATGCAAGATACTACACCAGCATCGCAAAAACAGATTCACAAAATGTATTCTAGCACAAACATCATAAAACAGGCTACCTAAGTACAAATTCTGAGATTCCAAAGCCATATGAAAGCTAAGATTTAAGGTTACATTTCATCAGAAGACCATAACAACCAATTCAGAAGCAATCTCAACCAAAACAACCAATTACAATCGCAGTTCTTACATTCGGCCAAAACCAGAACAGCAAGGGTAAATTCGACTTTTCTCACTCTACGCTGCTCCGATTGACCTGAAATTTTACAGGCACCTATAAAATGTCATTACCTACAACTTTCATGTTTTAAGCCAAGGCCAATTCGGCCTCTATCTATGACCAAAAGTTTCGGACAGAATGAAGAACCAAGAACCCTAATTTTTCCAGATTTCTTCCAAAACAGAAATTACTTGAAATCTTCCACTTTTTCCACCCTCTAGAATCATTATATACCATTTCCAATCATCATAAACAACCACACCATCATAATCCAATTAAACCAGAAAAATCATCATAAAATAGAAAACTTCACCAAATCACTCCAAACCAAGATAAAAACCAGAAATTTCAGCACTTGAATCACCAATAAGCATAACATAAGCATCATTAGGTGTAGTAGGGTGGTTCAAGCCTCACTTACCAAGAAACAAGAGAGAGGAAGATGTTGGTCACCTTAGCTCTTCCAAAAAGCTTCACTAAACAACTTACTAACACTAATAGGAGAGGTTTTATGGAGTAAGTTCAAGATTAAACGGTTAAGTTGTTGATTTGGGCAAGATTAGAGCAAGGAATTGAGAGAGGTTTTTCTTCTTTTGCTTGGAGAGAGAGTCGGCCAAGAGGGAGAAAAGAATGAGGAATTTTTGGTTATTTTTGGTGATTTATTTGGTCAAAATAGAAAAAGGTGAATAGTGGTCTTATGGTAAGATTAAATCTTATGGTGACACTTGTCACCTTTTATTAAATATCTACCTAACTTTTCTCTCTCATATCAATCCAAATTGCAACCTCTACTTATCTCTTAACACCCGGTAAATTAAACCCAGTATCCGAAACTTAACCTAATCGGCCGAATTTTTCCGAACTTTTCGCACTAGTGGGTCCCACGTCCGATATACGTTCTTAATTTCTCAAAAACTAACTAATACTAGAAAAATCATCTAAAAACTCTAGTTACTCAATAAAAATTATCTGGGGAATTTTCTAATAAAGAAAATGTAGGAAAACGGGTTTTCAATGTTAACCGGAACTGAGGGTTTAAATCTTAATCCCTACTTAGGGTTTTCGAAATACTCCCAAAAACCAAACGTTACCGCCCAATTAATGAATATATCAACGTAGAACGAACTGGGGCCTCACATTCTAGACGTTATTTTGTTTCCTTGTCTATAATTTTGTACCTTTCTTCAATATATTCATTTCTTATACATTTTTATAAGGAAATATAGTTTTCAAATCATTTCCTTGATACAAGTTAGTCCACGTTAAGTTTGAAGTGTATTATGGACGTGGGACCCGCTAGTGCGGTAAATGTGGTATATTTTTGACAACTCATTGGAGTTAATTGTAAAGATTAAAAGAAGTTTGGGCCATATTGTGACTTTGGTTGATTACAAGTTGCTAGACTTCCTAAAGGTTCCATGATATTCCTAAGCTTAATTTTCATTGGCTAATCAAAAAGGTAGTGGACTTTGACCAAGGGACTTAGTTAATATCTTCTTAGCAAGACCAAAGGCCAAAACAACAAGGAGAATTTCAGCCAGCTCTAGGGAGAAAAGAGGGGAGAAAAACCAAGAGAAAATAAGAGAAAGAACAAGAAAAATTCTGGTTTTGTGCAACCCATCCAACAAGCTTGGGAGTTAGAGCAAAAGAAAGCTAATGAACTTGGTTCTTGAAGTGCAGCCTTGTAAACCCACCTTTGGAAGGTAAAGCAGCCTTGAACTCTTGTAAAAGCTTATAGCAATTGGGTAGAAATGTTGTTTTTGATGTTGTAAGATGCTAATAAGGGTTAATGATGGTTTATATATCACTTTTGTGGGTTTGTGTGGAAGATTTGGTGATTTCTATGGCTGTTGAGAAAATTCCAGAATTGAGATTTCTTATGGTTCAGTTCTGCCCGTTTCTGTTTCACCAGGTTAGAGGCCGAATTGGCCTTAGCACAAAACATGAAAGTTGTAGATAATGATGTTTTCTAGTTACCCGTAAATGTTCAGCTCAATATGAGCTCGGTAGCCTGTGAAAAGACCGAAATACCCCTGCTACCCTGTTTCTGTCCGAAACTGATAATCAGCTTTGGTAATTGGTTAGTTTGACTGGGAATACTACTGATTTAGTTGTTGATGTCTTCTTAAGAAATCTAGCCCTGTATCTTAGCTTTCAAATGGCTTTGGAATTACCTGAATTGGAGTTGCGTGTGCTGAGATATGAGTGAATAAAGCAAGACTGCTAGTTGATTTCCGCAGTGAATTTCGAACTGGAAAATCTGGAGTTGTTTTGGAACATTTGACCTAGTTAGGGTGAGAACTGGACTAAGTGGTCTTCATGAAAGTTATAGGGAATGATAATTTAGAGGTGCTTGCAAAATTTCAGGTCAATCGAAGTAGTGTAGCTTGAGAAAAGACGGAATTACTATTGCTGTTCTGGTTTTACCCGAATGTAAGAATTGCGCCTGTAATTGGTTGTTTTGGTCAGGATTTCTTCCGAATTAGTTGTTGAAGCCTTCTGATGAAATTTAGCCCTATTTCTTAGCTATCAGTTGGTTTTGGAATTTCTGGATTTGGACTTGGAGAGCCTGAGTTATGATGTTTCCGCTAGAATACGTTCTGTGAATCTGTTTTTGTGATTCTGGTGTAGTATCTTGTATTTTTGACCTGGTTACACTCGAAACTGGGTTGAGTGACCTTCTGCAATATTTTAGCCCTGTCTCTTAGCTTCGAAACGGTGGGTCTTGTACCTTCATCCGACAATCGTAGCGCCTTTGGTACCATTACCGCAAAATGACGTCAAAACTGTTTTTCTGGTTTTGAGATTAACCTTCATTTCCGGACTTTTTCCCTAGCTTGACTTGTCTTTGTACTTCTTGGAGCTTGCTGAATGGATATTAGATGAACTTATTTGTGTGACTTTGGGACTGGCTGAAGAAATAATGAAGCCATGATGGCTGGAAAAGTAAGCAAATTTAGGGGAAGTGCTGTCCGAAGTTTTAAAGGATTTGTTTGCATTGAGTTTGTGATCTAAGACTTGGATTTGAGCAAGGCAGTGATATTTGATGGATGATTTCTGAGCCGTGGAGGTGAGTGACCTCAAACTACTTCTAAAGTTATTTATGAACCGTTTCTTACATTATTTACTTTTGAACTGTTTCCAAAGTCACTTTTGAAATGTTTTCTTGCATATCATGTGTGCTGGCATTTGAGTGTGCCTTGTTTGCTATATTTCTTGACTTCATGACTTGTATTTTGGTTGATAACGTGTTAAGCGCTTATAATGATTTTCAAAACGAGTTTTCGAGGCGAGTGTGTACTTTATCGCACTCGACCTCGATAAATGTGAAATTTTCGATTGAAATGTTACTTGCGTATGAATGTAAGCCTTTTGGGCTGAACTGGCCATTGCCCCTTGTTACCGGTCGTCTTGAGCCAGAAGCGGACTCGGTCAGGCGATTAGGAACTTGGGTGAACGTTTGGTATACTCGAGTATTACCTATGTAGGTTGGTGGAGCCTGGCCAAAAGCCAGGGACGGGGTGAATGAAACGAAATGAATGACCAAATGAGCGAGGAAATGTCAGGAGAATGAATGTATCCTTTCATGAATGTTACTATCGCTTTCCATTGTAAATGTTTCTTGAATTATTGATAATCCATATTTACTGTTTTGCAAATGATGTAGTTGTTTCCGGATTTATCATTTAATTTATGACATCATTGCTATATGACATCATAGAAATGAACTATTGTGAAACCGAGTTGATTAATGATTTTCTGGTTACTCGCTGAGTTTTTAGCTCACCCCAAAAACTATTTTATTCCCCTCCACAGGGCTCGTGGCGAAGGAAGGACTTGTAGTACTTGTGCACGTGTATGGATGGCCTAAACTTTGTACAATTTTGGATTTGGAATTATTTTATGTATATTTGGGATTAGTTTCCGCTGCATTTGTGACATGTAATTATTGGAGACGGATGTGTATTTGTGGACCATTTGATGTATACTTGAGATTTATATTGTAATCTGTTTGAGGAATGTAGTGAACGACTGAGTCCCGGCGAGAGCTGGGCAGGCGGCCCGCCGAACCCTTTGGTTCGCCTTAGGGGGAGGTGGGGCCGTCACAGTTTTTGCATCAAAACACATCCAAGACCTTCTCTAGACGCATCAGAGTATACGGTATAACCTTCTCCTCCATCAGGTAATACCAAAACAGGAACGGATGTTAATCGCTTCTTTAACTCCTGAAAGCTTGACTTGCATTTTGGAGCCCAGATAATCTTGTTACCTTTCTTGGTTAGATCGGTCATAGGTCCAGCAATCTTCGAAAAATCCTTGATAAACCTCCTATAGTAACCTGCTAAACCCAAGAAACTTCTAACTTCTATTGGAGTTTCTGGCTGTTTCCACATCATAACGGCCTCAACTTTTGCCGGATCCACGGCAATTGCCTCTTTAGAAACTTTATGCCCTAGAAAAGATATCTCTTCTAGCCAAAACTCGCACTTACTGAATTTGGCATACAACTTATGCTCTCTTAATATCTGCAAAACTATCTCCAAGTGCTTAACATGTTCCTCTCGAGTCTTAGAGTATATCAAAATATCATAAATGAAAACCACTACGAACTGATCCAGATACTTCTTAAAGACTCTCTGTATTAAATCCATGAAAGCAGCTGGTGCATTAGTTAATCCAAATGGCATAACTGCAAACTCAAAATGTCCATATGTTGTATTAAAAGCAGTCTTGGGTATGTCTTCCTTCTTAATTTTCAATTGGTAATAATACCCTTGCCTCAAGTCCAGCTTAGAGAAAACTACAGATTCTTGCAGCTGATCAAATAAACTATCGATCAAAGGCAGAGGGTATTTGTTCTTAATTGTAACTTCGTTTAACCCTCGGTAATCGATACATAACCTCAAGCTTCCGTCCTTTTTCTTGACGAATAGAACGGGTGCTCCCCATGGTGAGTCACTTTCTCTAACGAAACCTTTCTCCAGTAGGTCCAGCAGTTGAATTTTCAACTCTTTTAGCTCTGCAGGAGCCATTCGGTACGGAGTCTTAGAAATCGGAGCCGTTCCCGGCACCAAGTCAATCTTGAACTCCACTTCTCTCTCCGGTGGTAATGTCTTTAGTTCTTCGGGAAAAACATCTGGAAATTCCCGTACCACTGGTACATCTTCTAACTTCACTTGGTCACTGGGAGCGTTAATCAGGAAGGCTAAGAAACCTTGCGCTCCTTTGTACAACATTTTTCTTGCCCGTATTCCCGAGATCATAGCAGACGATGCTAACCTACCTTTCACATCTAATTTCAGAGTTGCTTCCCCGGGAATCCAAAGTTCTAACACTTTTGCTCTGCAATCAAGCTTAGCATGATGATGGGCTAGAAAATCCATTCCTATAATAACATCATACCCCTTTATGTCCAAGCTGATTAGATCCACTAGCATTTTACGCTCTCCAATCCAGAATTCGCAATTCTTATAGGCTAAGCTAGTGATTATACTTTATTACCCATAGGTGTCCTAACTTCAAGATCAAAGGGTAACTTAACAGGTTGTACATCGATTCCGGACATAAAAGTTGAATTCACAAATGAATGAGTTGCACCAGGATCAATTAGTACTCTAGCTAATCGATGAAAAATTGGAAGAGTACCTTCCACAACTTCCGAGGAATCAGGTACCGGTTGGTCATCTATAGCGTATACCCTGGCAGGAACTTTCGGCCTATTTCCTCCAGAATTGGCTGGTCTAGCATTCAGGGTACCACCGTCTTGTATTTTTGGGCAACCGAAAATTTGGTGCTCACTGCTTCCGCACTTCAAGCACTTTCCTTGTTTCTTCCAGCAACCGTCCTCAGTATGGCCAATTTTCTTGCAATACGCGCAAGTCACCTGGGAAATTATCACACGACCTCCTTGCGAGGCGTTCCTAGGTTGACCCCTTCCAGTTGGTCCCCCTGTAGCTCCATTATCTCTCCCCCTGCACTTCTTGCTCCAGTTCCTCTCGCTAGAGCGCTTCGTGGTGCTCTAGGACTATTCACTCCCCCGTTCCTCGACCCACTTTGGCCGGTGAAGCACTTCCATAAGTCGGCTCCCAACTGCTACTAGGGGCAAATCTTTTCTTAGTCTGAAAAGATTTTACTTGAGCTCTGGCAACTTCAACCCTTTGAGCTCTCTCGACAGCATCGGCAAATGTGTCCATCCGAACAGCAGTTAGTCCTTCCTGGATTTCCATGTTTAATCCCTGCACAAACCTCCTTATACGCCTTTGCTCCGTGGCTACCGATTCAGGAGCAAAACAAGACAATTTTGTGAATTGGACCTCATATTCGGCGACACTCATTGCCCCTTGCCTACATTTGATGAAGTCGTTCTCTCTTTTCTCTTGGATGAGAGGTGGAAGAAACTTGGCGTTGAACTCCCTTGTGAAGTTTGCCTAGGTCCTGGGAGTATGATTCCTATCCCAGTTAACCCTAACTAGGTTCCACCAGGAACGAGCAGCTCCCTCAAACTGGAATGCGGCGAAAGTCACTTGTCTTTCTTCCGCATAGTTTAAGGCTGCGAAAATGTCAGAGATTCACCTCCGGTTCGGGTCCTCCATAAAACTTGGGAGGTCGGAACTTCAAAAATCTCTCCAGTGCCCGATCCTCAGTATCGGCTGGGCCTCCTTGATGATGCACTTGTCCAGAGGCTTGGTGCTCAGTCAAGCGTTCTAGGACATCAGTGATTCGATTAATTGCGGCGGCCACTTGGTCTTGATTGACCTCAGGTTCCCTATCACCACCCGTCTCGGGGTGTTGTCTAGTTGGTCTCCCACGTCCCCTACCTATCACTTGTTGATCCATGGCCTAGTTATGCCTATTAGTGAGAAATAAGGCAATTAGGCGAGAATATTATTTGTTATTAGTTTTCTCTTTATAAATAAAATCAACATCAAAATTGAGAAAAAGAAGAATAAAATGTGTAACATATATTTCCACGTGAGAGTCATACAATAACGGGTTGGGACACTTTCGAAAAGTAAGGCACATGAGTTTAACAAAAATACATACAAATAATCCCTTAAACAAAAAATTAGGGATGTGGTGCCTCAAAAGTAAGTCATCCAACTAGACAAAATTTGATGACCTAACAAATGTCCCCCTTTCTATCCCTACACATCCAGTACTATCAAGTCAGACCTAACCTAACCCTCAGCAGGGCTACTAGGAGCAACGTCCTCCTCCGGGTCCTCCTCGCCACTCGCCTGAGCATTACCCTGAAGAATACTCGTGGCCTCATCCATCATCATAGTGGCGTCAGCCCTAATACCAGCACTCCTATCACGTATCCCCTCAGCTAATCGAGTCACTCGAGACCTCTATCGCTCAATCTCCACACGAGCAGCCTCCAACCTAGCATGCCCAGCTGCTAGCCTCATCTCTAAGTCGGCTATACGGTCGAACTGGGTGTCAACCATGATGCTCACCTCCTCAGCATCCTGGGTCAAGGTATGATTAGCGTCCCACAGCTGGCGGCGCTCATCGTCCAAAGATAGCACTAACTCATTAGGGTAAGCGTATATAGCCCTACACTGGCATCGTGGATACCTATCAGCTGGAGTATACCGCACACGAGCTCCTCCGCCTCGTGGCCTATATGAGATGGATCTAAGCTGCTCTACGTGTCCATTAGTCGCTCCATTACCATTAGCATGTCCATTTTCATTTTCCATACCTTCCAAAGAATCAAAACCCAAAGGTTAAAACTTAAATGACTAACTGGTTCATATATCACTTAAGACATATCTAATGGCCTAATTTCTTACTTCTAGAAAGGGTTAGGGTTTCTAACATATCTAATATGTCTTTCAAATAACTTTTCTAACCTAGGCTCTGATACCACCTGTGGCGACCCCACTTCCCTCTAAGGCGAACCAGAGGGTTGGCAGGCCGTCTGTGAGAACCCTGAAAAAATAGACATATAAATATCAGTGCATATTTTATTTGCATTTTAATTCTTTAATAAATTTTAGCACGAAGTCCAATTGTTTCTAAATAAGTATGTAGAATTAAACGTTATGTACAAAATAAAAGAATTGTGCTAAACTACTAAACTTCGTGGTTTTGTTACATTAACTTCATATTTCGATGGTAAACTATTTCATTGATCTAATCATTAATTTCTTCGAATTCTAGAATGGTAATTAATTGTTTTGAAATAAAAGTGTAGAGATAATTTTTAAGTAATAAATAATATAATTGTGCCAATATTGAATTATTCGGTTTTGCTATATTAAATTAATATTTCTTGAGTTAGATTAATTTATCACCTTAAAATACTAAAATACTTAGTTTTCTTAATGTTGAAAATTAATGTTACCTGAGTAGATTAATTATATAAAATTTCTTGAATTTCAATAATTAATTCCAATTAGTTGCTAACGTTAAATGTTAATAAGAATTTCTGCGTTAAGATGAAAACCAATGAGTTTTAGATAAACAATACAAGTATTCTAAAACATAATTAAGGTGTGAAAAATTCGATAATTAAAGCCTTGCAAGATTAGCATATTACTAGGCGATCAAATTATACTTGGGGATAAATTTTGGAATTAAGTTAGAATTGAGATTTTAAGTTGAGGTTAGGGAGCAAAGTGAAAGGACCAAAATGCCCTTCACAATCCACAAAATCCCCACTACACCACAACCATCACCATGCACGGCCAAACACCCCTTCTGACAACATTTCCATCACCGCCCAAATTGTCCAATCCCATTCTCTCCAATTCCATATGTAAACCATCTCTACACTCAACCAATTCTAACCACAAACACCTCTCAATACCACGGCACCCTCTTCATTTCCCTTCCACTTCACATCTCAAACCACAACTGCATTTCACTCTGCCTTGCTAGTGTCGACAAACCGAGAGAGCGAGAGAGAGGCCGAGCTGCACTCTGCAGCCGAGTGGAAGAAAAGAAACCACAGGATTGAATGTTTTTGGTTCTGGCCGTGAGTTGGAGTGAAACCAGGGAGAGCAAGTGGAAGTCGGAGGAGCTGCTGATCATCACCATTTTCGTTCACTTCAGACCAACATTTCCCAGCTGCAACCATCTTCACCACAACACCATTTCCAGCTGCAAATCGAACCAGGACCAACCAGTGTGCGTGAGAGCCGAGAGGGAGCAGAAATTTTCCAGATTTTCTTGCGTGAGCTTAGCTTGCTGTGAGGTAATTTCTGGATTCATTTTATGACTAATCAGAGATAGTTTGAGCTATCTAGGGGCATGCATGTACTATGGTACAGCCGGATGAATGAGATTAAGCCATTAGAAAATTTCTGTTTTGGATGTTGATGTTTCTGCCGAGAAGTTGAGCCGATAATGCAGTTTTATTTTCAATTTTCTGGGACAATCTGAGCATCTAAGTGTACTTAGCCGAATGAAAACTTGAAGATTAAAACCATGCATGAAGTTAATTAGCCGGATTATGCTAGAAGATAAAAATGAAACAGGAATCTGTTGCACGCAATGTAACATCCCGAATATTAGGAGGTTGGTTATGAAGAAAATATTATAGTGTATTTCTTTGGGGTTTGATTTAAAACCTTATTTTATTTTAAAAGACTAGAAACCCTAATTTTAATTACTGGAATTGGAAAATTCCTCACGTTTTCTTAAAAATTTCCTTTTATTTGGAAATTATTATTTATTAAAGCTCTACTATCCAATTATTCCATAATAAGTGTAAATGAATCTAGAAAGTAGGGTTTTATTCTTCGTTTTCAAGATTTGAGCAAATTAGGGTTTTCGCGATTTTTCGCTGGATGAATTTTCGGTACAGAGTAAGGATTAATTTTGGGGATTAAAAGTGACTTTTAAGTGAGAAATAATATGTGATTAGTAGCAATGATATAAGGTTAGTGAATGGGAAGTAAAAACCCTAATACGTGTGTTTTTAAGAAAAACGGCGCGAACCGGCGGGTCCCGCGCACTACCGATTGAACGCACCACTTGACCACCACTTTCTTGCCATACAAGTTTATCATTAATGGAGCAAAATATCTTCCCCCTCTTAGCTCTCCTATTGGCCGAAATTTAGTGGTTAAAATGCAAGGAAAGAAAGAGAAAATTTTGTGGTTGTAATTCAACCAAGTGTTAGACAAACTTGTGGCTAGAATTACTTCTTATCTTTCCAACCTTCTTATAAGACAAACTTAGCTTAATCTCCTTCATTATTTCTGCACCTTGGCTGAGTAAGGAGAGAGAGAAAAGAAGAGCAAGAGCAACAAATTTCCTTCTTGATTTGCTTCAACCCAAGTAACAAATCCAATTCTAAACCGATTAAAGTACTAAGTGTGGGTTGGGAAGCTTGAGGAACCAAGAAATACCAAAGGGGGTGAAGGATCACTCTACCAAGCCTTGCTTTTGAGGTACCAACATCTGAACATGATCTTGGTTGCTTTGAATTTTGTTTTAAGATGTGTTTTTAGCTTAAGTTTTGGCTTGATTTCATGATTATGCAAGTGGGTGTGGTGAATTTGGAAGTTTTCCCCTTTTATATGATGAACTAGGGCTTGAGGAATTTCTGCCCAATTTGTTGTATGATGCTTGTATGTTGCAATTAAGGTTGTATAAGGTGTTTTGGTAGTGATTAGAACAAGAAAATTGAGAAAGTTCCATTGATTACAAAAAAATTCCAGAATCTGGAAATTTTTCCCAACATTCTGTCCGAATTTTTATCTGTATGTTAGAGGCTGTTTTGGCCTTAGGTCAAAGAATAAAAGTTGTAGAGAATGGAATTTTATAGGTGCCTACAAAATTTCAGCTCAATCGGAGTAACGTAGGATGTGAAAAGTCCAAAATACCCTTACTGTTCTAAGTATTTCCCAGCAGTCCGTTTCATCAGTTAAGTCCAGTTTATCACGTTTTTTGACTAGGAGCCGTACTGATTTAGCTCTGGGCCAAAACATGAAAGTTGTAGTGTTCTGAAGTAGCTTTAAAATGCCTCTAAGAACACCTGAATTGGACTTTTGTACACTGAGTTATGTCTGTTACAGCGTAATGCGTTTAAACAGCCGATGAATTGGTTTCTGGTTTAGTAATTTGAGAATTTGACCAAGTTACATTAGAAACTGGACAAAATGACCTTCATGAACATTGTAGCTCTGTGTCTTAGCTTCGAAACGGCATAAGTTACGCCTCAATCCGATAAGCGTAGCCTCGGATATGTTATTTCCGCATTTGTACGTCA